AGTTATAATTATGGCCATAAAAAGCATTCAACCCCTGTGTTTCAAAGCTTTTTTTTAACAGAGAATGAAAATAAGTAGTACTGTTGGGCTTTCTATTTCCGCCAGAATTAAAAGCCATCGATAAAGTGCCCTAAACCAAAACTTTCTGTGCACAAATATTGCGACAAACGTAGATCCTGAGCTTTGCTTGTTGCCTTCAACGTCACTCTCCAAGAGAACGCTAATAACGTCAAGGCGATTATCTTCCATCAGCTACGAACTTTGTGACTTCAAAATTTAATATACTTTGTTTTCAAAATAATGGAACAGACCGCTCTTAAAGGAGCTGTGCAACGATATCTATTTGCAATGTTTTTCACTATACACGAGCTTACTGGCACTAGTGGGAGTCAGAGGTACTCGCACGCAAGTACCCTTGACCCTTTTTTTCTGGGACTTCTATTGTGTGGGGTGACAAACGAACGCGTGTTTCATAGGTCATTAATGTCACGGATCCGTTCTAAGCGGTATTTGCGCAAAGTACGAAAATTGTTGCATCGCCCCTTTAAATCATTGGATCTAAAGTCATTCGAGTTCCGATCAAGAAGAAGTTTAGTTGAGTAATTACTGCGTGTGTAACTATAGGCTTTACTTTTACAAATCTCCACAGGTGCCATTCTATCTGCGTATGGTGAACTATTTTTCTTGTGAGTTCGTCTATGCATGTTTGTAAAAATGACTTCTCTGAACTAAAAATTCGCTTTTCGTTTTATTTAATAAAAATTTAATTTACTAAAAGCGAGGAAATGTTCGACAATTTGTGTCGCCGATCACATATATGCTTCGCGTCTCTCTGTAAAATTAATGTGTACCTATTTGCTTCCGAGGATCAACCCTGTTCCTATGTATTTTGCCTTTCGACATTTCCCCTTACCGAGTTTAGCGACCCTCTGGACATCCCGTGCCTCGGAAAATAGCGATCGTTGGCCAGATCCAACTCACCAGTTAAGGCCAAATCTGAAATTAAAAATAAATTAATTTCATGGCACTAGAATCGTAGAAATTGCTTTTTTTTCGTGTTTTCTTTTTTTTTTTTTGCAGTCTAAAGGAAAGCAATATTGGCGCGAAAGATCAAGTAGTTCTGTGGTAACGAGATCTAAATAAAGCTCGTCAATATTTCTAAGTTTCATGCCAGCATGGGAAAACTTTTATTTCTAAACGTCATCGGCAAGACATCTTTATAAGTAGATATCCTGCGGCGTCAGGCTGCCCACTTGTCATTCTGGTCGCACGCCTTGGAGTAGTCTCATAAGACTGCGTCATACAGCTTCCTTTGACTGCCATGTATCCAGTGGACATTGAAAGCCATCGGTGATCAAACACCATCTCGAATAGATGGTGTTCACTATGCGCCGAGAAACTGAGGGAGAGGAGGAGACCTAGGGGACGTCAGAACGCCAATCTCTGATAGGAGGGATTAGTACCTAAAGCTAGCTGCCTTTGTTTCCACTGCACTCGTCGAACGCGTTTCAATGCAGCAGCCAATCGCTAGACACCACCGTTCCGCGTTCGAAAGCGTTTGACGAGTGCAGTGGAGGCAAATGCTGCTAGCTTTAGGTCACCGGGGGAAAGTAGCGCCATTGCCTTCCCTGCCTCCCGGCCGGCTAATTGGGTAAGCGGTCTCCGTTGCTATGGAAATCGCCATTTCGGCCCCTTCAAATCTTCGAAGCTTCGAAATGGTCGTTCTAATCCAGTCGCACCGAGATCGCCATGAAGCATCATCGTACACTCTAAAAAAAGGCTGTGCGTCTACTTTCCCGCAAAACACTCTGAGGGCCAATCAGCGCAACTTACGGAGGCAGCTCAGCGAATGACGATGCCGAAACATGCTTAGACCAAAAAACGCAGTCTGAGCAATGCAAAACGTCACGCTTGATTGCTTAATGTCACAACTCAGTCAACGTTTTTTGGTCTAAACATGTTTCGGCATCGTCATTCGCTGAGCTGCCTCCGTACGTTGCGATGATTGGTTCTCCGAGTGTTGTGCGGGAAAGTAGACGCACAGACTTTATTTAGAGCGTACTAAAGGCGTTCCTCGCCAATTTAAGCGTCTTTGGCAATAGGTATCCAATCAACTTATCAATAATGCCAATTTTTATGTATCTCTTACAATAGGCCGATCTCACTAAGCTTTCGGCGCATGCGCGACGCCGCCATAACTTTAGTTCACAGGTGGCACACGAGACGGTAAGAGGGCTCGTACCGTCTCGTGCTCCACACGCGCAGAGCTCCAGCGGGGTTGTCGCACGGGCAGAAAGACTAAAGTTCCCTGAATGCATTGCGGCAGCGGTGTAGTAGTCAAACTGACTGGTGATATCGATATATTATATTGTTGTTTTTCCGTATTTCAAAACAAGGAAATTATTTTCCAATGCCTCCAAGCACCGACACCGCATGTGGGTGGTACGAAGATGTACGCTTGTTTCGCCGGTGCGTAATTGGCGAACTCTCGGTATACAAGAAACGACTCTATAAATCTATCCATCACCAGCGAATTTATTTCGGCTTACCAAGAATGGAGAGGTCAAGGTGCATCCCATGAGCCAAAACGGCGACCATACGAGGAGCTTGCCGATACTTTCCCACGTTCGAGTTACTTTAGTTGAAAATACACGCCCTACCGTTCTCTGTCAGTGACTACAGAAGCCATATTTAATCACAGTATTCCCAGCACATGTTAAAAACGAACCCCAACTTATCTTCGAAGTACTAAAATGGGTGCTGTTGAATGCACGGTATGGAAGCATTGTGGAAGCTCATTATAAGGTCACGCTTACCAGCAACGGACGCAACTATGACCGCCAGTGAATTCTATCCCGGCCCTTAGATAAACTACTTGCTGGTCTGTAGACTTCGACAAGTCCGCCAGCCCCCCTTTTTAGTAAATTTTGTTGCCAGAATTGAAGTTGCTGCAAGAAGGGTAAAATATTTAAAATAAATTCTTATTGCATAAAACATCTTCAGAAATTTTTTTTAATAATTTTTTAAAGCAGATGTAACCCGCTTTATGCGGCGTGTCAATTATATCAAAACACTTTACCTCTAAATTTTAAGTAGACGGAGTTTCTAATCGTCTATATCAGTGGTCTTAAACTGATTTGTGTGTGGGGGCAGATATCCCACACCTGGAAGGTCGAGGGTTAACGTAAGGCACGGCCTCGTGCTTTATGCTTTCTGTAAACTCACTGTCTTTCCAGTAAAATTCTTATATTTGATTTGTTTATAAGTTTAATTTGGGCCCTGACCTTATGTGATAAAAATTAAAATGACACCGCCCCGCCAACGTGATGATATTTTTAATAGAACGAATATATTCGTTCCCGTTGCTCACTTCACCCAGGAGTTCATCAAGTGCTACATGTCTCTAAAAACAATCAGTTAATATGACAGTTGTTGCTTTCCTGACAATTTTTGCTACAACACTCGAACAAATACTATTCTTTCAATGGCGATATGTTTTTAAGGGCGAGAATCCCGAGCTCGTAGCTTTATCTTTGGCAGTTGCTCGCTCTTGCTGATCGAGAGTTCGCGCCCGAAATGCATCCTTCAACGAATAACTTGCGCTTGCAGCCTAGTAGCAGAATCGTTGTGCATTACAAAAAGCTGGGAAGCAAAATATAAAGCAAAACAAAGGGGCAAATGAACACAGAAAAGTATCAACTATATGAATACGTTAAAAGAGCAGAGCTACTTTTCGAGCGAAAAGTGATCCACGAGGTGAGATCACTATGGCGCATGCCAGTTCTAGCGCTCAAGACATGGGAGCCGGGACTCGTAGCCGGTTGCCCGCGGGCCGCGTCCCAGCGAGCCGCACGCCGCATGCTGCCCGCGGGCCGCGTGGTTGAGACCCCTGGTCTATTTTTTCAGAGATTTCGCAAAGTTTTATCTTAGAGAAAACAATAAAGGCATCCAACAAATTTTTCCACGGTGTCTTCTCTGAACCCACGTCTATCTTTTAGATTACCGATCTAACTGGTTGACTCCGAACATCGGCAGCGCGCCTCTGGTGCTTCAATTTTTCCCTAGGAAAAAACATTTCAGCAGCATGATGAAAGGATTCTAGACAAAAGAAAATTTGAGGACCGCGATGCTCCTTATTACAATAGAACACGTTGCGCTATTTAAGATGAAAATTATAGAAAATTGCGTAGGCTCACCGATCCTGTGCCCATGAAGTGCCGCACGAAGGCCCTTGGGACCAGACGCAAGGAGCGTGGCAAAGTCCCTGTGCGAATGCGCGACAAGGCCGCCGTAGCCGAAGATGTAGGCCAAGATGACTGGCACCACGATCTCGAGGAGCGTAAGCAGGTAGTGGCGGCGAATCTGGATCATGTACACGTTCTTCCAGAAGATAAGAAACAAGTGCGCGAGGAAGGGCATGGCTGCAGTGTAAAAAGACCAAGGCGCATGTATCAGGGGGAGAAGTGTGCCGGGACTCCAGACTCCCGCAGTCACCGTTGCGCCTCACTCTTCAATTCAAAATATTACAAAAAAACACTCTTGTTTTTTTTTTTTTGCCTCTATGGTTTAGAGGGTTTTTACAAAAACAATTATAAATGAAAGTAGAACTGAGCACATAGATTTATACTTGATTCCAGTCTAAAATACTGCACAGATATTTAAAGATGAATTTTTATGAATGCACGCCATGAACATATAACACATCTCTAGCTCTCGGGACTATTTTTGAGATCCCTAGCAACCTAAACAAGCCAAAACGACTATAGATTTGCCTATTGTAAGCCTCGAAAAAACGCGAAAACGAAAACAAAATAACATATTCCTTAAACTTTGCCACTTTCTAGCCAGCTCGCCTATCAAACTTTCTCTACTCGTAGTTATAAATGCGCCGGTTCAACATTTTGCATGTTCTTCACTAAAGTTATTACCTGCACACCGTATATTCCTCAATAGAACAGTATTAAGATGGGAACGGAATAGTAAATGTCGCCTTGCCTGCTGCAGGTTTCGTCTAATCCGTGATCTCGAAGAATTCCTTCGGAGTGTTCCAAGCCTCGATCAGTGCTCGTGCGCGCACGTGGTAGGTGCTTCCGCAGTCTTAGCATCTTCTTTGTCGTGGAATGCGGGAAATTAAGAACTTCATATTCTATTGTGGTTCATGGTACATGTGCCATTCTGTTGCATGGCACTATGTACCAGAAGGATACCAGAAATAACCAAAAATAACATATGATCTCACCCTTCACATCTTTGGCCAATCCCTCTTTGGTGAGTGCCAAGAAAAGGTTCAGAGACAACAACATGAACCTCATGCTTTTGTCGTTTCACATAACACATATAACATCAAATTATACACAGCAACAGCATAAAATCTCAAGATTGCACACAAAACAAATTAAACCGAATGTCAAGGCGCGGACGAGCTGGTTAATATTAAAATAAAAATGAACCTTTTAGTTCATGTGTCGTTTTAACGAGCAGTCTCGGGGATTTTGTCATGCTTAAAAATCAAAGTAAACTATATTTTACAAATTCATTCATTAATCTATGTGCGGCGGGAACTCGGGGAAGGTCGCGAAACGAATTAATTATCCCACTTTAAATACCGAATAGCATTAAAAAAAAGTATAACAAGTGTTTTCCTCGCGGTGCTAGGTTGGACTCCAAGAAAAGGCAAAAGATCGTCCAAACAAACCCCGCTAATATGGTCAAAACAAAAATTCCATGGATTAACCCTGACGTCCGTGAACAGGGTTATAACCCTTTGTTTGACACTCCCTGATAATAGTGCACGTGCCCAGCGTTGAACGGTACACGGGTTGTCGCTGACAAGTGTAGTGTGTGCCAATGCTACTAGGTTAACTTTTGGTGTGTGCCCCATCATTTTGCCTATCAGAAAACTAAAGCCCCTCTATCCTGGAAAAAGTGACGCCATTCATTGTCGCGGAAATGATCAAGACACGTGCCGCGTGCCACTTCTGGGGAAAACATGGCGTCTGAAATCTAGCTCAACGTTACTGGAGCAAGCTTAGTTCCGCAGCTCCCTATAAGGAGTATTCACTGGGCGCCATATTTGTGGGCGCTGTTTAGAGCGCATGCTCAGAAAGAGCCCAGATTAATAGGCTGCTAAGTCCTGCAATCTTGAGGGTGCGGAATGCACGTTACAAAAGAACTATGGAAGCTCGCCATCAGCACGCGCTCAGCAGTCGCGCACACAGCTATGGCCGCCAGTGAATACTTCCCAAGGAGGTTAGAAGTACTAGGAGGGGGAACGTTGCAATATTGGTGAAGCCTAGTCATAAAAAGTTTAAACGATTTTGTGCCCAGCGTGACCGCAGATCTCTCTGGCGATTGGTGCGCGTGACATGTCACGTGTGAGATGGATGGTTGATTCTAGAAGGACTCCTTGCAGGCTTGCGCGCGCTCCGTCCGGTAGGTTTTATCAGGTCGAAGTCTACACTGTGGTGTATTCTAGTACCCCACAGCAAGACGAAGCCTAGCTACGGTCACGTGATGTGGTCACGTTGGCATGGTAAGTGAGGAGAGTAAGGAGGAAAATGAGAAAGAGGCGAGGCGTCAAGGGAGCATGACTTGTAGAGGCTACGCGGCCGACGTCATGCCCTCTCCTACCCTTCTAATCTCCATGATACTTCCTATCCTCGCCTGCAGAGACGAGTTGCCCAGGTGGCGGTCACGAGAACTAGCGGCGCTGCAGTCGGATCTTGCTCCCCTGTCTCGCGCGTCGTCTACTACCACCACGTTGAAAGCTTCCTTTTCGTTTTCTTTTCTTCCTTTTTTTTACTTTCATGTGTATAATAGAAAAAAAAAAGCCGATAAAGATGAAGTGTGATACACCGCAGAGATCAGAGTCAGCGCATTGTCAGTGTTCCTTCTTAGAGTGTTTGAAATTTATTTTTGTGTGCGTCTGTTTCCTTTCGCTGTGAAGTGTTAGTATGAATCAACAACTCGCCCAAGCTCAAGTATTGCTATTCAAACTTGGCGGGCTAGACAATCCGGAAGCAAGGCTCGACTGCAGCACTTCTAGTTCTTGTAACCGCCACTGAGCCCACGTCGCAAGCGGAGCTGTGAAACTGAGCTTGCTCAAGTAACGTTGATCTAGCTCGGTGCTGCGCTGTGCCGCCATCATCTTCCCAAAAGCTGCACGTTTGCAAGTGTCTGTTGCATCGACGTTCCTTGCGCTACTTTTGAAACATGAAGGGGCTTGAAATAAGGCTGCACTGCAATGCCCTTAGCTCTACTGAAGTGACAACCAGGAACAACCGACACCGAAAAGCATCAAGCACATGTAATATGCATGCTAAGGTGCCTTTGGGCATGCTTGTAGTCTATCGGTATACTCGTGAAATAAGCACGAGCGATTGCAAGCCTGTCAAAGCTACCTTCGAGTGCATGATGCGGGCGCTCGAGTCTTATCGGGGTTTCTTTATAGACGCTTTGCAGCAGCTGTGCATGGGCGCCGCCATAACTGACCTTCAGTTTTTGTTCCCCCTTATTACGTCTACTTTACTTCATTATTACCATAGCAGTCCAGGTTATTGACATCTTAGACTTTATTCTGTCTTGCGCTCCTTAGCATTGGCCTTTGTGGAGGCTCGTCCACACCAATTTCAGTGGCTCGGTATCTGGGAAAAACAAGAGAAGGTCAGCAATGGCGGCTGTATTCTGGCGCGTGTGAAGCGTCTATATCTGCTGCTCTAGTGTGAGTCGGACATAATTAGCGGCGAGCTGTTTTGGTGGCTCCCTCGTATGGTTACCATTCGTGACGTCATTACCTTGCAAACAACAAGTTCGATGGTGTTTGTAATGAGCATGGTGGAAGCTTGAAATCATTGCGCTCTTAAAGCCACACTGTCAACACCGTCAAAATTAAAGTTTGTACATTACTCCTATTTCTGCCGATGAGAAATTCTTTGCTGTACTGACGTTCCAGGAAGGTCTAACCGCCTAGGAAGATGGACATAAAACCTCACTACCGAGTGCTAGTCGCCATACGCAGGGGCAGTCCGGCTTTTCTTCCGCCTAGCCGAACAATTGCACTGCAGCCCATGATACGCCTGATCCATACACGACAACGATGACGGCACTGTGACTGTCACACTCTCACTTTTATTTTCTTCCTTTCGTCCCTTCTTTTATCCTTTTGTCCCCCTCCCCCTCAACGGTGACCTACGGGCCTGCATGGTCGCGCAACCCATCGTTGTTTTCTACAAAATAAGTAAAGTAAAGCTAAACAACAACAAAATCCTTTGCTGGCGTCATAGTCAGCATTCGGCCATTCGTGGAAGGGCGACCACAGCGACGCTTACGATCGCGCACCTCGCCAATGGAGCTGCGTGCTGGACCTTGGAGTCTACATTAGCTCTAACTTGTGGTAATGATGAAGTGGAGCGAACGAAATAAGGTAGAAAAAAACCGAAGGTCCGTTATGGCGGCGCCCATGCACAGCTAACTGAAAGCCATAAATCCGTCTCCGCGAGCGTTGCATTCTGGGAACCTCTGAACCAGGAGTGGAGCGCGTATGGATTTTGCTTTCCACTGATAGGATATACTAGAATGGTTCTAGTTTTAGTAAAATCTACCACTGATTCCCACAATGCATAACGTGGGATTACGCCGCGATGAGGCGCTTCAAGTTTTGGAATAAGTCTATCCACACCTCTGCCCGTTTCGACGGGCAGAGGTGTGGACATGAGGCAGGCATGCCGGTACGACCGCATCGTACCGGCATGCGGTCGTGTATCACTACTGCGTGGTGCACGTTAGATACCCCCGGACTAGCGGTTGCATTTTATTGGCTGAATTACTCAATTATAGCTGAGAGACAAGTCGCCCGTTTAGGCAGACAAACTGTATAAACATACTCACAACACAATTTATTTTTTTCGCGCATCTTCTTGTCATTGTTGTTTGTTGTTGTCCTTGAGTGGTTGTTTGTTGGCGATTATTGAAGAAGAGGACTGGCCAAGGAGGAATGTGATCCTTGGCCTTCAGCGCGGGCACAACCCGAGCATTTCTTCTTTTTTTTGTGTGTGTGTATGTTGTTTCCGAACGTTTGTTCGTGAACAACAACCAAAGAACGAACACCGACCAAAGCCGTGCATGCGCACTCTTCACTTCTTCTGAGAGGCCGTATACAGTGGACTCCAGGCACTTGGTGTATCTGGATTATCGCCGGTGCAGAGCGGCATCATGGCCCAGCGCCACCAGTTTCGCCGACGGGGGAGCCTGCTAGAGGACGTGCAGGCGCCCGCCTTCAACCTGGTGATATGCCTGGTAGTCGCCGTCATCCTTATCGCACTGTTGGTGGCCGTGATCTGCAAGAAGTACGTCTCCCAGGCAGACCAGAGGCCCTCGCGACCTGACCTGCGGGGCAATCGTGCCGGCATCCAGACCCCCCTGGGCAGAGGAATGCCTCGGCAGGACGCGAACGAGTGCCGCTCGCCCCTGTGCGACTGGAACGCCGGTTACATCTTCTCCAAGGTCTGAAGTGCGCACTGTTTTCGATTTTGGGTACCGTATTTACTCGAGTAATAGCCGCACTGTTTATGTAGAAAACCTGAGGGTTCGCTTTTCCGCGGAGCACGCGGATTGCTAATCACCGTGATTGACAGCATAATTCCAGCATTTTACAGGACAGAGATAACGTCTTCGTGCGAAGATACCATCTGTGAAGATTGCATTTGTGTGGACACTCGTGTTCTCGATCTAGTTATTTGCTATGTTATTTATGCGCACCGCGATGATTAGCTGTATATGTGCTCTGCGGGAAAGTAGACGGAAGGGCCTTGTTCTTAAATAGTGCGGCTATTACTCGAGTAAATACGGTACCCATAAAGTGCTATCCACTGGCCACCATAACTCGGCTCGTTGCTGTTGGGTGCTTGAATACCTCCTGGCCAACGCTATTCGATTAGCTCAGTTACGGAACTGCTCATAGGCGCTGCATGCACGAGCAGTACCCCCCCCCCCCTTTCCCTCACTCACCGCGACTCGCCTGCCGTCGCTCAACGCGCCGGACGGCTGCTTTGGTAAATGCAGTGCATTCTATGGGATACATACGTTTCGGAGCAAGGTGTCGAGATGGCGTTTGAGCTCTGCTCTATGGAACGCACAGTCATGAAACGAAAATCTAGATGGCGCTTCGAACGACGGCAGGCGGACTGAAGTGAGTGAGGGGGGTACCCCCTTCCGCGGGAGTTCCACAACTGAGGTAATCTAGTAACGTTGATCCTGGCTTATACTGACGTCACTGCAGTGGCCATTGGGGTGGCCTTCTTTCTGAGCACATACCTTCTGCAGCACACACTTCACACCACCGAATTTGTTTTTCTCGGCAAAAATAAGTTGGAGTGGCCAGCATGAGGGTCTGATGACGCCATGTTCATGCCATGTATAAGCATAGCCTTCTTGATGGAGGACGCTATGGTATAAGTCATTCAGTGGGTGTTGCCTGTTAATAAGTTCTGGCGTAATAATTTACTTCTCGTGAGTTACGTGCGATGTATGTTGTAGTCCCCTCACATCTTTGATCGTATCCTTTTTTAATATCTTAAAATGAAACTTATCAGGAATACGAAAAAAGACAGTCATTCAAGGGTCTCAACGGCCGTTGGGTTTCCGTCATTTGTTTGTGTGCTCCCGTTTCTTTTTTTCCCGGGTCGTTAAAATAATAACCCTCAGAAATTATGAAAAAACAAGTCACACTACATTTTCAGACATAAAAAAGCTTATTCTCCAGAAAACTGCATCTGATTAAGATAAAACAACCAGTACCTTAAACACACACAAACTATTTTCTAGAAAACCACAATTTAAAAATGTATATTATCTCCCGGCTTTTATTGCATTATATGTGGAAGTTGATTTATAATCAGTGGTACGTTTTCATTTAAGCTTAATTTTATCGTACGCTTTTTATCAAGCTTTTTAATGAAACTGTGCTTGGAATCTTTTTTTAGATCTTTGTCAGAGAAAGCCAGAATAGTAACGTGGTATTTTGATTTTGAGGCTTGAAAAACAAAACGCTTGGGTGAAATCACGTTAAACTTCCTCTGAGTGGATAATGAAATGAGAGATAAACGTTTATTTAAAATATGTACTTGTTCCTTCAGCATGTCGCTTATTTCTCTGCGTTGTTTCGCTTTGTTTCAAGGTGGAGCAAAATAATAGACCCTGCGACGATTTCTACGTGCACGTCTGCAGCAACGCCTGGTTCCGCAAGGGCAAAGTCTCGTCGCGCCCTTTCCGAGAATTCAGCGCTGCTCAGCTCATGTTGGATGTGGAGAGTTTCTTCAAGAGCTTCCTCCACTTGAAGGGCAGTAACGAGCGCCCTGGTGACAACTTTCTTTCCCAGGCCATCTGGATCTATGGCAAGTGCAAGGCCGGTCTAAGTACAACGGTTAATGTAACCGCAACCATAGAGCAAATATTTGAAAACCTGGGTATCACGGGTTGGCCCTTGGACAGATACACTGGCGACCTGACTTCATTAATTGGTACCGGGGACCGTCTGATGAGGCTGTATCCGCTATTCAGGGTAACCATCCAGAAGATCAATGGTAGACGGAGTGCGTTATCCATGTCGATCTCACCGCCAATCACTTACTATAGACGCTTCATGATGAAATCTTCAAGTACAAACGAAGAGTCCTATCTGGGTCTCGTGGACAAGACACTGCATCTGTGGACCTCGACGAAAAAAACCGGGGCAGCGAAGGGAATCGTGGAATTGGAAAAATTGCTAGAGGGCTTTTCGCTCGCCTTTAGTGAGGAACTCATGATTCCACCAAGAAGCAAACTTGTACGCTTAGGCGACTTGTTCTTGACCAGCAGTTGGGACTGGGAAACCTACTTTCGTGTACTTACCAAGGGCAACAATACGATCGTAACCAATGAAACTGAAGTCGCCCTGAGTGACTTAATTTTCCTCCGAAATATCGGCGGCGTTTTGAGCGACACGTGGACTACCGTCATCGCTAATTATATTGGGTACAAGGCAGTTGTAGAGCTGTCCTCTGCTCTGGGCCAAGATGCAGACTACCTTCAGCCCCTAACTCACGACTACCACATAACCGACCTCAGCGAGCTCCAAGTCGCGTGCATGGTGCTACTCGAAAAACTATACCACCACGGCATTGGTATTGCCGCCAGACTTACGCTGGGAAAAGACTTTGCGACGACTTACCGGACACACTTCAATTCGCAACTGGGAACTATATTCCGGGTCACCAAAACGTTGTTAGTCCACATGGTGGTTTCTCTGCGCTCTTGGATCGACCCCCTCGACAGCGGCATCGCGTCGCAGAAGCTTAACACCATGGACTTCGTCTTCGGAGCCCAATACAACCTCCTGGATTACGAACTCTACCGAAAAACATCGACCCTTTTTATAGACGAGACTGAAGCTCTGCCGGCCACCATTTTTAGAATATTCACGTTCGCGTCGGCCGCGTACTGGGACTCCCTAGCCAACGATTCGAAGGCGTACGACAACCTCTACGCCTCCACAGTTTTCCAACCAGGCCACGAGTACCAGGAACTTAGTAACCTGCTCTTCGTTCCTCATGCAGTTGTGTCGTTCATGAACCACATCACCAACAAGATTCATCCGTTTCTGTACCCCGTCGTCGCCATTCACGTGATGCGGGGCGCACTGAGAGGCCTCACTAGGGCAGGATCCTTCATCGATGACCAGTCCGCCTCCAACGCCTGGTGGAGTGGTGCCACGACGAATGCCTACATCAACATCAGCGCCTGCCTCCAGAGCCAGTACCAGACGCCGGAAACGAGACAGAGCTCCGTTTCCGCGATGGAGGACAACTTTCTGGACAACGCTGCCCTTTACCCTTTGTTTCGGATGTACGTTACCGACCTGGCGAAACTGAACACATCCAGAAAGTTCATCACCCTGGGCCGTCAACAGATAGGAGTCGATAAGATGTTTTTCTACAACTTCGCAGCTGCTCATTGTGAGAGCGGTGGCAGCGACAAGTTAGCTAAGTTGAAGTTCTTCGGGGCAACCTCGCCACGGTTCAGAGTCAACGTACCCCTGAGGAACCTGAAACTGTTTGCTAAAGTGTTTGAATGCCGACCGAACTCCTACATGAACCCCGCGAAGAAATGTGCGGTCTGGAAGCGATTCAAGTTTAAATCCGAAGGGCGTTAAGATGTTTCGGGTTGACTGCAGGTCCGCGTCTGGACAATGCAACGTTAGTTAGAGTAAAGTTTTTTTGTTTGTTTTTCTCTACTGAGAACAAGATTTTTATTATAAATTCGAACGCGTAGAGTTGAACATTTTCGCTAGAAATATTAAGTGATTTTTGTACGTACCCGGCTCACATATTAGATAATTTTAATCACATATTGCGTCTAAACCGAATGGGTGTGGTGTAGAATGGCTTTGCTTCTTTAAAAAACAGAACAAATATATCGGACTCGATTGGACTAATGGTATTCTGTCAGTTCGTTTAGGGAAAGAGGTCACATGTCGTGTATGTGACAGGGGCGATAAAGTTGCAATTATTTTTCTCCACTCTCGTGCATGGCGAGCGTTTGTACAAACCCACTTGGTTGTTGTACTGCCTGTACATCTTTAGGATATTGTTTAAATATTTCTGGTGTTCTCACTTTGATTATTTATGTGATTTAGTTTATTGGAAATTAACTAGCTGTGCAGTCAGTTGTTGAACTATCTAAATAGCGCAGACAAATAAACAACAGCCTCCTTGATTGTTAATACCAATAAAATGTTTGCAGAAGGTTTGTCTAATGTGACCCTTTTCCCGATAGATCTGCGTTTTTGAGACAACTTTGTCCGAATTCAGGAAAAGGACGTCGGAATGTGCCGCAGTGCTTATGTTGTTATTCCTTATTATGTTGGGAAAAAAAATGTGTGAGCACTTTTATTTCTTTCTAAAAAAGAGGAGCCTATCAGAACACCATCAAATATGGTAGGTACCATGGTCATTAAAAGGACATCGATGTTGACTGGTGTTAGTTTTAGCGCGCTCTCGGGCGCTTTTTTCGGGGCGCAGTTATATATGTGTACACAGTGTTCTTAACCTCTGCGCGTCTCGTACAAAATCCTGTCCACAGTGTTGCAAATAAATTTTCTAATAGACCGATCTCACCAAGCGTTCGGCGCATGCGTGACGCCGCCATAACTGTAGTTCATAGGATGCAGACGCCAGTTCACGAGACAGCACATGCCGCCTCGTGCTCTGCTCCTGCAGACCTCCAGCGGGGTTGTCGCACGTGCAGAAAGACTACAGCTCCCACGATGCATGGCGGCAGCGGTGGCGTACTCGAACTAGCTGGTGAGATCGGTCTATTAGTTGACGTTTAGCACGCTTGCAAATCTGTTGGCGAGGACGAAGCCAAGGGCGGAGAAATGTGCTAGGTGTGCGCCCGTTCACACGGCCAACACAACGGTATCTTTTTCATAGGTACATTTGCAATTGGCGAATCAACCCGTGATCTTG